TGACTCAGGGTCACCGGAAGCTTCTCTCTCTAGCAGCCAATCAGATAAGAATCGCTGGACACTGTCGAGCTGAATGATCCTAATTGTGGTCACCCTGCTGCGCTGAGGTTGTCCCTCATGTGCCCAGGGCCCATGTTGGAAGGATTCAATAACAGGAAGTGTCTGCCAGGTACTTGGCACCCCAAGACATGCTCCGCCCTCTCAAGCCCCTCAGCTGGTAGCCATCAGCTCAGCAGGGGACCAGGGGCTTTGCTGTTCCAGGTCAAACTCAATGAAGTGACCTTCCGAGGTGAAGGGCCCCGTGTTTCCTGGTACCACAATCCCACCAACCTCTTTACCTGGTGGACACCTACGGCAGAGGGTCGTAAATCTTGGTGGAACCGAACGGAACAGAATTGGTTCCGTATTTGTAAGCAGACCGCTTCTTTGCTACCAGATTACACGTCCTTGGAGAGCGGGTTCCCGTCTTGCTCTGGTCAAGCTTTATTGGACAAGGGGGCGGAAAGGGGATAGGGAAATACCAAACCAGAATGAGGGATCCGGGGCCAGTCCCTCTACTCAGCAGTGAGACTGGATCCAAGGCACCACTGCCCGCGGCAGACCTCATGCCTCCTGCCTCCAGGAGATGCTGGGATCCTGTGTGCCAAGTGCCCCTGTGCTCCTTCAAATGGGGTCAGGGAGGGCTGGCCTCAGTCACTATCTGTGACGTCACCATGCCCCATATCCACAGACCAGCCCATCCGTACCCCCTGACCCGCACTCAGCAGCTCTCAACACCCAAACTTCATTTTTTCATCAACTGTCTCATCAAATCTAATGGAGTGGCTGAGTGAAGCCACGCCATCACTCCAACAGCAGCTCTGGCACCTGGGGACATAACTGCTGGCACCGTCTGCCCACCTGCCCTGTCCCTGCTATGGCAGATGCGGCCTTTCCCGCTCATGTCTCTCGGAACCCAGGGCTCGAAGGAGAGCGCAGGCACTGCAGGGAGGCGCGCTTGGCCTTGCCTGAGAGGTGCTGACATGACGCTATCCTCAGCCCCACGTCATTGTGTTGGATTTGGAGGTTTGTGGGGTGCTGTGTTGTTCTGGGTTTTGGCCCTCATCTGTGCGGCCTGCAGGTCCAGGGGGCTTGGGATCGTTTGTGTGCTGGGGGATGACGAGGGCCTCGCTCACTCGCTCTAAAGTCCTGCCCAGAAGTGTAGCAGAAACAGCGGTAGAACAATCAACACAGCCCAGAGTCAAGGCTTTGCAGGGGCAACCCACGGGTATGAGAGACACTGACTGCACACCCAGTCTCACTACACTGGCATTCCCTCATTCACCTGAAAAACGGAGGCTTTCCCTACCTCCATGTGTTACAAGGCAAGCTGTCCCCTTCCTCTAAAAGGGTCTTCAAACCTAAATAAGGTCCAGAGTCCAGTGGGTAGGGCGCTTGCTTTGCATGTGGCCAACTCCAGTTTGATCCCAGCCAAGAGTGACCCCTGAGCACAGAGCCAGTTGTAAGCCCTGAGCACGGCTGGGTGTGGCCGCAAAACCAAAACAAATAAAATCTAAAGGAAAACGTAAAGGCAATGAGGACCAGATAACAAAGAGATGGGCTCCTTTACCCCTTTCTTTCTAAAGACCACCGAATTCCATGCTCCCATCACTCCACGCCCATGAAGGACTTGGCCAAGTCCAGGCTACAGATGAGGAAAGTCCAAGGTGGCAAAGATACCTCTCTGGCGCCCCAGGTCACAAAACTGCTAAGGGATGGGTCTGGACCTGAGAGTGGGACTGGGCCCGAGCTCTTGTGCAAGACGGTCCGCCTGCTTCCTGGGCCCTGTTTCGGCCGTGGCTCCAAACCAAGCACGGAATGAGGGAGAAGAGGGTGTCCTGGGGCTGGAGCAATAGCACAGCGGGTAGGGCACTTGCCGGGGTTCGATTCCCAGCATCCCATATGGTCCCCTGAGCACCGCCAGGAGTAACTCCTGAGTGCAGAGCCAGGAGGAACCCCTGTGCATCGCCGGGTATAACCCAAAAAGAAAAAAAAAAAGAGAGTGTGCCCAGAACAGGCAGGAGGGCAGGAGCCCGGTCCCCAAGAACCACCACGGCTACTCTCTTCACAGGAGCCGCCGTTCGCTTTGGTGGCCAAGCCACACTCACATGCCACCTCACTCTCATTAGTGAACTCCGGGTCCGAGAGCAGATCCCCTGCCCGTTCCTCAGCATCTCGGGGCTCCTGGTGGCACCCAGCACCGGCTGTAGCCACTCACCCTGGCAACACAGCTTACAGCATCGACTGCTCTGATCTACAGCGAAAAGCAGAAACAGTTTGGAATTCTCCGGGCAGGTGACAAAGGCTGGGCCCAGACAGAGTGTTCCCTCAACCCCCCACCCGCCAAGCCCACTCCAAAGCCAGCCTGGATTGTTTACTGCATCCTTGGAACCAGAAGAAAACGCCCGGTTCACACTTGAGCCACCCCGCCCCCCACCAAAAAAAAAAAAAAGAAAGAAAGAAAGAAAGAAAAAGAAGAAGCAGCAGCAGCTCTTGACAGCTTCTGAGTCACCAAGCACTGTATGGGCAAGAAGGACTTGCTGAGCAATTTCTGGTGTTTGTTTTATTTTCTCTACAGTCAGGCACCGAGATTTTTCCACCTGACAATTCCTGTTTCTCGCTTAAGTTCCGACACCATCTGTGCTCAATGTGCGCCGCAGGGGGGAAGGCTCCCAACCCCCGAGAAGGCCTTCCCCAGCCTCCGTCTTCCCTCTTCCCCCTGGTTCTGCAGAACGCCGGGGGTCTGGGCCAACCAGGCAGGGTTTTCTCCCCAGCAGGGACACGGGCCTGCAGATCAATGAAGCTGCTGGAAGCTGCCGGGTGTTTTGCGGGGCCTGGCGCTGCCACCAGAATGAAACCTTTACATAACTTTTTTCTCAAACAGGAGGTTTAACTGAAATTAATAGCACAATGGGAACCCGAAGGCAGGCTGAACAATAACAGAGCCCCGCGCCTCCTGCCCGAGCAGGCGGCCTCCTCCGTGCTCAGGGCGCCCCCTAGTGGGCGCGAGGCGGAACTCCCCGCGGAATGTTCCGAGCGACTGCAAAGAAAGGATGGGGAAGGCTCCCAGCCTGACTTAGGAAGGCTGTCGCTCCCGGGCGCGGATGGGATCCCTTTCACTCTCACCTGGTGCGTGCATCAGAGAGCCCGAGGAGGTGAGGAGGGCCCGGTGAAGCTCGGGTGGCTGTCTGTCTGTCCAAAGGTCGGGTTCCCTTCCTTCCCTTGGCTGCAGGATTGGGGTGTCTGTATCCTCACGGATCCCAGACAAACGCCCCCGCACCATGAACCCATCCTCACCTGCTCACACCCTCAACCTGCCCCCCTCCAGTCGCCGACTGTTTGCCCTTCTCACACTTTCCAACTTCCCAGTGCAATTCTTTTGACAACCTGAGCCAGGAGCTATGCTTGGTTTTCGCTCATTCGACACCCAGCCCGGGGAACTGCACCTCGGATGAAAAGCATGAATGAAGGGCATGTTTGTCAGCCCCTTCTTTCACAAATATGACAAAGCATGCTGGGCAAAGGGCATCTTTACAGCCATCTCCTCCTTCAAACGTTCAGGCTGCAACAATGGCACCAGCCCCCAGTGAATTCTCAGTGACTTGCTTGTTCCAGAATGTGTTTATTGCAGAGACTGCTTAAAATACAATAGACAAAGTCCCAATTTTTCAATTAAGCCATAACTGACTTTTTTTTGAGCTGGGGGAGGGGAGGTTGGATCCTTCCCAATGGAGACTTGGAAATTTGAGATTCGGGTATCCAGATATTTGAGAAGCGACATCCCAACCATCACACACACACACACACACACACACACACACACACACACACACACAATCTCTGCAAAGATGCAGAAAGAGAAATAGCCACATCAATCTCCCACTTCATTCACAGTTCACTCTGCTTTTTCCCCTGAGGTCATTTGCCAGGTTCATTCGCAAGCCTGGGTCCCCCAAACTTCCCCTAAAATAGACAGGAGAAGCCCTCTAATGAGTTACTGACTTGGCCCTAAGTGGGTGTAAATACATCGGATATGCTTCCAGCCAAAGAGCCACGTTCGCATCCTGCCACACACCACACAAAATCTTTCTGCAGAAGTCAGTGCCTTTGAGCCCAAGTCTCTAGCCACACGCGTGTGGATTTCAAGGGCCTTTGCAGAAAGGAAAACGACAACAACCGAGGATGGGACAATCCCAGGGCATAGAGGTGGCCCCTGGGAACTGGGTGAATCATAGGGGAGCCCTGGCAAGGGCATCAGCTGTCACCCAGGGGGTCGGCTGGGCCAGCACCTTAAGTAATTTGGCTGTCCAGCACTCCAGCTCTGAAAGGCAGTGACACCTCGGATGGAGTCCTGGTGGTTACCGTGCTCTGGGCAATTCAGTCTTCCCAGAAGCCAGACACAGCCAGGCAGGATCCTTGGGCTTGCTGCAGCCTTTACTGAGAACCTTCTCTCAGGAGCAGACAGGAATCCACCCTGCCCGGCAGCTAACAGCAACATCAGGGGTGATGGGCAGTGGGGTGGGGAGAGGAGAGGAGAGGAGCCAGGGTCACTTTCACCTATAGGACAGCGGGCTTGGGGGGCAGCGGGGTGCAGCTGAGGCTAGATAGGGCTCTGCTTGGAGTTAGGGAAATAAGGTCATTCCGAGGTAGGGTCTGTGCGCGCGCGCGCGCCCGCCAGGGCAACCCGATGGTCCCAAAGCAGCAAAGTGTTTGCAAATCATAAACACCACTTTGCTGTGGGATGGCCCCCCGCCCCCAAATATGCGCAGGCAGGATGTAACAAGTGTTTCCAAAGAGAGAGAGACGCCTGAGTCACGGGGGGCACGACCGGAGTGGAGAACGGGGCGAGGGTCTGGGGGATGCCCGACCAGAGAGAGTCGCGGCGCACAGTGCCCGCGCGACACCCCCCACTCCACCAAGCCTAGCCCACCCGCGCGCTCCCGGGAGTGGTGCCCACTCACCACTCGGCCCGAAAACCGCTCGGTGGCCCTCTTGACTTTGCCGTAGGTGCCTTTGCCCAGGGTCTCCTGCAGCTCGTAGCGGTGCTTCAAGTTGTGCTTGTGGTGATGCCGCTTCACCCCGTGCGGCTTCCTGGGCTCGGGGGCGGCTGCCGCGGGCGCTGCTGCCGCTGCTGCTGCTGCTGCTGCTGCGCCTGCCATCGCCGCCGCCGCCTCGGGGGGAGACCCCCGCGCCCCGGGCCTCGAGTCCGGGCCGTCCCCGGCCGCGGGCGCCGCGGCCACGTCCATGGTCCAGCAGACGCGGGGCGCAGCGGGGTTGCTGGCGAGCGGGCGGGCGCGGGCGCGGCGCGCGCGGGGGCGTCGGGGGTCCGGGCGGGCCGCGGCGCTCGGGAGGGTGGTCCCCGCCGCCCGGGATCGGGGGGCGCGCTCGGGCTCTCGGGCGGCGGCGGGCAGCGCGCAGCGGGCGCCCCCGGCGCGCACGGGCCGAGGTGGCGGCGGCGGCGGCGGCCGGGGAGGCGGCGGCGGTGTGTGCCGGAGGGAGGGGAGAGGGGTGGCCACGGGCGCCGAGGGGGAGTGTTTTGTGCGGCGCCGCGCCCCCCGGACCCACCCACTGCGGGAGGGGGAGGGCGGGGCGGGGCGGGGCGGGGGGCGGCGCGATCGCGCGGCCCGGCCGGAGCGGGAAGCCGGGGACGCGGTGGCCGCGGCGGCCCGCACCTCCCCGGGGTCCCCCCGGGGGCCACCCCGAGTCCGGGGCGGGGGCGGGGGGAGGGGCTGCGTGTCGCGACTCGTTCTTTGTACGGCGCCGGGTAGGCCGCCGCGGGCCGGGGGGAGGGGAGGAGGGGCTGGGCGAGGGTTTGTCCCGGCTCGGGAAGGGGGTTCCCGGGCCCCGCGCCCCCTCCCCGGGCGCGCGCTCCGAGCGAGCCGGGGGGCGCGGGGTCCCGGGGGCTCCGCGCGGGGGAGGGGCGGCGGGCCGGGTGTTGGGTTTCAGGAGGTGAGTCACGCTCCCTCCCCCGGCCCGGCCCGGCCCGACCCGGCCCCGCCGCAGTGCGCACCCCAATCCCGCGCCGCGCCGGCGGGCACCCCCGGGGGCCCGGCCCCGTGGGAAGGGCAGCCGCAAGAGGGGCTCGTCACCACCCACACCCTTCCCACCCCCCGGAGCCGAACCTGCGGCGCCCACCCCAGAGTGGCAGGGGTGGAGGGGAGAGGGGGATGGAAGAGTCCGGGTTGCTGCGGGCGGACGCGGCACAGAGCCGGGCGCGCACCCAGCTGCCCCAGGAGGTGGTGGGGTGATGGGGATGGCCAGAGACCCCGTTGGAGCGGGCCCGGGATCTGCAGTGCCCAGGGCGCCCAGCAGGGGTCAGTTCCTGCAGACAGTAACGGCCCGCCGGACCCCACCCGCTCAGGGTGGCTGTAGTCCCGGGTTCACCTAAGCATCAGCGAGGAAACGGAGAGAGGAAGAGAGAGAGAGGGTCTTATGGGAGGTGGGGAGTGGGGGTGGGGGGGTCTTTTCTACCTAAATCTCCCGGACTGGGAAAGGGATGAGAGCGCGCCGTTGGGGAGAAGCGCAGGTGTCGTCTGTCAATCGCGGGTGGGTTTGGATCTTTTTTTTAGGAGTAGGGGGACCCAGATTCCCTCTGCTGCTCTCAGCTTGGTCCCCGCTGCAATTCCTGCCGTCTTGTCTCCTGCCTGCCCCTCATCACCTTCTCCCGAGCTCCCGCTGCAGCCCGGCGGCCCGGCCTGAAACGCTGCATCATCCTAGGGCTGCCTGTGACCGCGGGCCGCCTGGCTTATCTGGCCAGTCGCTCTCCTGCTAGTGCCTGACATAAACCCTCTGCCCCTTCCTGCCTTCCCAGAGAACACAGAGCCTGCTGGCCTGTGTCTTAATGCAAACACTGAGGTCCTGCCCCGTCCTCTGCCGGCGTCTCAAATCAGCCGTTGCCTCTCTGTGTTGGCAGAGGAAAGCGTCCACCCAAGGGACCTGTGGGTCGAAGGCGGCTCGTGACGGGACAGTCCTCCGTGTGAGCCTGGTCCCGATGAGTTCGCTTCGAGGTTTCCTCTTCTTGAAACGACGCGTGGCAGATTAGTTTTACAGGGAAGCAGGTTGGGCCTGTAGCAATGGTTAAGGCAATTCCCCTAATGTTTTCTGGTTCTTTCTCCTCTCCCCCCCCCCCCCCCCAGGTGATAGTGGATCCTCCCCCAGAATCTCTCTTGCAGATGGATGTGGTCCTCTGACTTGCCTATTAGGCCAGTGGAGTAAGACCGGTGTCTTGCTTTCAGGCGGAGGTGTTTGAGTCCATTGCCAAATCTAAAGCAGGAAGGACAGAGGCATGGAATTGCAGAGACAGACAGAACCTGCCCCCAGTCCACCCCCATCAGCCTTGCTCTAGGAAAGTGGGAAAGCTTGTGAGCAAACACTAAGTTGTTCTGGGTCGGGTGGATAAATAACTTGTGACAGTACCATCGTGGCCTTGTTGGGACTAACAGCACTGCAGCCAAGAACCCGAGTCTTCATCCCTATTTGTTGAATGACAAGCACCTTCTGGACTGCTAATACTGTTCTATAACAATAAATCATCCTCTGTAAGATAGTTGTTATAATCCCTATTTTCAATTGAGGAAACCCATTCAAAAAGGTTAAGTAATTTGCCTGCGATTATACAGGTTGTAATTAGCAGCAGCAGCCTCTAAGCCCTACCTGCTGGGGTTGGCCCCCTCCTCCTCTTCCTCCTCCTCCTCCTCCTCCCCCCCTCCTCCCCCCCCCCCCCTCTTCTTCCTATGCTCTCCTTAAATGGCAAAGATGTAAACACCCAGCAAACGCCTGCCTCTCCGTCCTGCCCCAGCACTGGGAGTTCCTGTCCAGCCTAAATTCCTCTAGCATTTCTAATCAGAACCACACTTCAGCACAATGTTATCGTGCATTGTGTTGGAGTGTTTTCACGCAGATAATAAAGCATTTCCTCCGACAAGATCCCAGGCTCTTTGATTAAGAACTCGAGTTCTGGAATCCAGCTGCCTGAGTTCAAATCCCAGGCCCGCCACTAGTAACTGATTATCTTCAAAAAGGCTTTTGCCTCTACTTGTCTTGGTTCTCTCCTCTGCAGAATGACAATGGTAGTGACATGTGGCATTGGTGCTGGTAATAATAATAATAATAATAATAATAATATGTCCCCACGGGGTTGATGTGAGGATTAAAGGATTAGAGCATATACACTCAATAAATCCTAGCTACCAATATTATATTTGTTTCTCCTCTTTCATGGCCTCTATAGAATTCAGGCAATTGTAAGCAACTTAATCATAATTCTTGATTAGACTCTGAGTTCTGGCTTCATTCTTGATACATGACAGATGTTGAAACATCTGCAGCCGGAACCATAACATCCACACTCTCCTACAACTTGGATTCACATGACTTTCATTGCTCTCCACTATTCTTTCTATTTCCAGAGCAACTGAAAAGAATGAAGGTCTGTCTGCTTTCTTGAGACATCTCTGTTCCAGAAAGCATAGTAATGCCAGTTACCATTTATCTGTTCTCTGCTATCTGCCAGGACCTTTCTATGGATTAGCTCCATATTAGCTGTCGTCCTAAAACTTCAACCCACATTTGGCTGTGAAGAACACTGACTCTCCACAAGGATCCTTGTGAACAGAGAGTCATTGCTTGAGTCTGGGTTTGAACCCAAGTCTCAGGCTCTCTGACCTTACTCTTCCCATTCCAATTTTCCTGACATAAGGGCTGAAGAGATAAGTACAGTGAGATACTTTGCATGCACCTGACCAGGGTTTGCTCCCCGGCACCCTATGTGGTCTCTAAGCCCCATCAGGCGTGATCCCTGAGGCAGAGATGGGAGTTAAGCCAAAAGCAACTTTCCTGACATCTGGGAGAGCCTCTGCCTCACCCTAGTCCTTAGATTTTTCGAGATGAGGTTTTAGAAATTTGCCAAAGATTGGAGCATTTCAAACTTGAGTATGTTGTCTAGAGGACAAGCCTTGATCACTTCCAGGTGTAGCCCTCCCAAAAAGAGGCCTTGTTCTTCATTGACTGCCCACCAAAAACTCAGGTCCTCCTCCCACAGATTACCCACATCAGGGTATTCTTTCAATGGATGTATGCGCACGTGCGCGCGCACACACACACACACACACACACACACACACACACTTTGCCAAGCTGGAAGTGCAGGGCTCCAAGGCCCAGAAGATGGGGAAACCCCTGTAAAGAAGCAGCCTGCATCCCACGTGCCACTGAGAAGGAACACTGACATCTGAACAGACATCGGGTTCACACGCGAGTGAGAAATGGACTATTGTGTGGAGCTTCTGAAACGAGCGGGTTGGTTTGTTACAGCAGTGAGTGCAGCCCTTGTACATACACTGTAGACCGCCTGTATTTATCAAGAGAAATGGAGGATTCCAACAAGTCTCTGAATCATTGGAACCAAACATGCTCCCCTTGTATTCGTCTACTTGTTAATTTAAGGAGCGAGCAAATGATTGAGGGCCAGAGTTTTCCCTTTAATTTCTCCTTTAACTACACGTTCTAGAAAGCAGATGAGAGGAGTGTGCAGCCATCAGAAAGCTTAAGAAATGAGTTTGCAGGGCTGGAGCAATAGCACAGCAGGTAGGGTGTTTGCCTTGCACGCGGCTGACCCGGGTTCGATTCCCAGCATCCCATATGGTCCCCTGAGCACTGCCAGGGGTAATTCCTGAGCGCAGAGCCAGGAGTAACCCCTGTGCATTGCCGGGTGTGACCCAAAAAGCAAAAAAAAATAAAAAAAGAGTTTGCTCATTAGGCCCCAAACAGGGCTGGAGCAATAGCACAACTGGTAGGGCATTTGCCTTGAATGCAGCTGACCCGGGTTTGATTCTTTTGTCCCTCTCGGAGAGCCCGGCAAGCTACTGAGAGTATCCCGCCCGCACCGCACGGCAGAGCCTCACAAGCTCCCCATGGTGTATTTGATATGCCAAAAACAGTAACAAGTCTCACAATGGAGATGTTACTGGTGCCTGCTCGAGCAAATCGAGGAACAACGGGAGGACAGTGCTACAGTGCTACAGGCTCCAAACAACAGAACGGCCAAGACCAGACTTAGAGCTTGTGGGTGGCACCTAGGGATCAAACTCTGGGCTTTGGGCTTACAAGCAGGCCCTTGGCCATTGAGCCACTCCCAGTTCCTCCACGACATTTCCTATTTATTCCCATTATCTGCCAAGCCCATTATGGAGCTGAAGATGCTCTGGGACAAGACAGGCCTGAGCCCTGATCCTTGCCACTTCCGGTC